ATAACAAGCCCTATGAGGAGCGGCTTAAGGAGCTGGGCATGTTTAGCCTGAAGAAGAGAAGGCTGAGAGGAGCCTGATCTCTTCGTTCATCTGGAGAGGCCCTACTCGTAATCCCACCTCTATCGTAAGGTGGGGACGAGGGACATGATAGCCATGTATAAATATGTGAGAGGAAGCCACAGGGAGGAAGGAGCAAGTTTGTTTTCTGCTTTCCTGGAGACTAGGACACAATGGAACAATGGCTTCAAACTACAAGGAGATTCCATCTGAACCTGAGGAAGAACTTCCTGACTGTGAGAGCCGTTCAGCAGTGGAACTCTCTGCCCAGGAGTGTGGTGGAGGCTCCTTCTTTGGAAGCTTTTAAACAGAGGCTGGATGGCCATCTGTCAGGGGTGATTTGAATGCAACATTCCTGCTTCTTGGCAGAAGGGGGTTGGACCGGATGGCCCAGGAGGTCTCTTCCAACTCTTTGATTCTATGATTCTCGTCCCCGCCAAACGTGCCTGGTGGTGGTGGTGGGACCGAGAGCAGGGCCTCCCCAGAAGATCTTAATCTCCACGGTGGTTCATAGGGGGAGACACATTCGGACAGGTAAATTGGGCCAGGGCCGTTTAGGGCTTTATAGGCCAAAACCAGGACTTTGAATTGTGCCCAGTAGCAAACTGGCAGCCAGTGGAGCTGGCGCAACAAGGGAGTTGTGTGCTCCCTGTGTGCCGCCCCAGTTATTAACCTGGCTGCCTCTTGCTGGACTATTTGAAGCTTCCGAGCAGTCTTCAAAGGCAACCCCACATAGAGGGCGTTGCAGTAGTCTATCCTAGATGTAACGAGAGTATGGACCACAGTGGCCAAGTCTGACTTCGCAGCTGGCGCACAAGTTTTAATAGAGCTCAAGGGCACAACAGAGGGGAGGCTGCAAAAGGAAAAGCCCAGCCCAGTTAGTGGGATAATAGGAACCTGCGTTTTGATATCTTCCGAGAAAAGTTTTCTCTCAGTCTCTGAAATCTCCCATTTAATTTAATTTAAATCCTGCTTTTATCTCAACATGGGGCTCAAGGGATCTTAGAGCATGCATTAAAACAAAGATCGGGTAAAGACTTTGGGTGAGAACATGAGAGGAGGAGGCCTTCTTCGTCGCTGTTCACAAGCTCCTTCCATCAGAGGACAGGACGCCACTTCAAAGCTTTCTTTCTGCTGCAGACAAAGACTTTCCATTCAGAGAGGGGCTTGGACCACTAGCCGGAAGGGTCGGTTAATGGTGAATATTACACCTTCCTTTAGTTCCATGTTTCTGAAATGCTTTTAATCTGTGACAATTCATTGCTTGGCTTTATCATGATAAGCTTGTTTATTTTTACTGGGTTGCGGTGAGTTTTCCAGGCTGTGCGGCCATGTTCCAGAAGCATTCTCTCCTGACGTTTCGCCCACATCTCTGGCAGGCACCCTCAGAGGTCGTGAGGTCTGTTGGAAAACTAGTCAAGAGGGTTTATATATCTGTGGAATAAGGTCCAGGGTGGGAGAAAGAACTCTTGTCTGCTGGAAGCAGGTGTGAATGTTGCAATTGGCCACCTTGATTAGTAGCACTGAATGGCCTTGCGGCTTCAAAACCTGGCTGCTTCCAGTCTGGGGGAATCCTTTGTTGAGAGGTGTTAGCTGCTCCCGATTGTTTCATGTCTGGAATTCCTCTGTTTTCACCCACATCACTAGCAGGCATCCTCAGAGGTTGTGAGGTCTGCTGGAAACTAGGCAAAAGTGGGGTTTATGCATCTGTGGAAAGTCTACATAGAGACCACCAAACGTAGCATTGAGTGGCCTCTGGCTAAGAAAGGTGGTATGCAAATGAGGTAAATAAATAACTAGCTAGCATTGCCCAAACACAAATCAAGGAATATGAAAAGCACTGCAAACTAATTCAACCAAAGAAGTCAGCCATAGCAGAGCACCTGATGAACCAAGCATATTATTGGAGAACACAGAAATGCTGGACCACTCTCACAACCATCTTGTCAAGCTACACAGAGAAGCCACCAAAATCCACAAGAAACTCTAAAATCAGGACAGTAAATAAAGAACAACACTCAAAAAACAGGGGAATTCCAGACAGGAAACAATCAGGGCCAGCTAACAAAGGATTCCACCGGGCAGGAAGCAGACAGGCTTGAAGCTGCAAGACCATTCAATGCTAATCAAGGTGGTCAATTGCAACATCCACACTTGCCTCCAGCAGACAAGAGTTCTTTCTCCCATTCCCCAGATAGATAAGCCCCACTTGCCTTGCCCCATTTGCAGGAATGTTAGTATGGAATATGTGCGATTTGACTATGGATTGGCCTTTGGACTACAACTCTTGATGACGTGATTCAATGAAATGTATTTTTATTATGCTTATTATGTTTTATTATGATTTGTACACCCTATCCCCTCCGAAATATTTCCATCCCAGTTATATCCTACCTTGCTCATGCCCAGCATTATTTTTTAAATTTTACATTTGACCCAGCCTTAGGTTTTAAATGCTTGATGTGTTACTATACTGCTTTATTTTGTCTTATTTTTGTTTATGAGATGTATTTTAACTGTTTTTGTTATTGTTTGTTGCTGTTGTTTTATTATTGATGTGTTGTGGGCTCGGCCTCATGTAAGCTGCACCGAGTCCCTTGGGGAGATGGTAGCGGAGTATAAATAAAGTTTATTATTATTATTATTATTATTATTATTATTATTAATAATAATTTTTAACATATGTTTTAAGGCACCGTGGAGGTGTGATTGTAAGCCGCCTTGAGTCCCCCTTGGGGTGAAAAAGGTAGGATATAAATAAGGTAAACAAATACATAAATAAATAGTTTCCAACAGACCTCACAACCTCTGAGGATGCCTGCCGTAGATGTGGGTGAAACATCAGGAGGGAATGCTTCTGGAACAGGGCCATACGGCCCGGAAAACTCACAGCAACCCAGTGATTCCAGCCATGAAAGCCTTTGGCAACACAATGTTTATTTTAAAATTGTTCTTCAATTGGTTTTAGATTCATTTTAGTTCAAGTTGTAAGCTACCTTGAGACCAAGGCAGGCAAATCCCATAATATAATCCATAGGGACTCCACCCCACTCAGACCCATCATGAGTGCCATTGGATCCCCCACGTACGACTTAGCAAAATTTCTTGCTGCACAGTTACAAAGCCATATTGGGCTCACTACACACTACATCAAGGACTCAGCCCACTTGAAAAAATCAGCAATCTCAAGCTAAAGACCAACGACAAACCGATCAGCTTCGATGTGGTGTCTCTATTGACCATGGTCCCAGTTGCAGACACCATGGCACTCATCAACCAGAGGTTCCCAGAAGACATCATGACGCTGTTTCACCATTGCCTCACCACCAGCTACTTTCAATGGGACAATGAGTTCTATGAACAGAAAGACAGAGTAGCCATGGGGAGCCCTCTCAGCCCAGTCATAGCTAATTTCTACATGGAACACTTTGAAAAACAAGCCCTGGAAACAGCCACAAAAAGCCCACGATATGGTTCAGATATGGGGATGACACTTTCACCATTTGGAGCCATGGAGAAGAAGAACTCAACAGGTTCCTGGCCCATCTGAACAGCATCCACCCAAACATCCAAAAGAAAATGAAGGAAGACGGCCTTTTCTAGATGTCCTAGTCATCCGCAAACCCGATCAACAATTGGATCACACCGTTTGCAGAAAACCCCCACACAGAGATAGATATCGGCATAAAAACTCCAACCATCACCCAAGTCAAAAAAGAAGCACCATTAAAGCCTTGGCAGACCGTGCAAACAGGATCTGCGAACCCCACCTCCTCCAAGATGAACTGAACCACCTCAACTGGGTGTTACAGGCCAATGGAGACTCCACCTCAGACATCAGAAGAGCTGCAAGACAACTGAGAAGAAGCCACGAGAGTCAAGACCAAGACCCACCCAGAGGGAAAGGGTTCTTGCCATACATCAAGGGAACCACTGACCGCAGAGGGAAGCTGATGAGGAAACACAACCTACAAAGTATCTACAGACCTACCAAGAAAATCCAACAAATGCTCCCTTCAGCCAAGGACAAGAAGGATCCTCTCACTTCTGCAGGAGT